CGGCGGGCCGCAGGCCGAGTCTAGCGCACTAGGTAGGTAGACACGTAGGTAGCTTGATTAAGGTTGTCTAGCGCTCCAAGCACATGAGGGGAGCATTGGCCCAGGCCACGAATCTCGAAGCCTGTGCACCGGGATTTGACAGCAAGCCTAGCGGGGAGGCGACCTGCTTTCTCTTGGTCTCTCCGGGCCACCTAGGAAGAGGACCCGAAGGCATCGAGGCCCTTAGCGCAATCTCAGTATCCTGGATTTTGCCGCCATGGCTGCACTTTGGCGCATTGTGGGTAATCTCTCTCCACCCTGCAAATAACACCGCGATCCCGCCATGCTAGGGTCTAGGAAAGTGGTTGCTCAGCCCCTCATTGTTCATATCTACACCCATGCCAGGCAGGAGCGTGTGAAAAGGGTCTCGATCTGTATAGTTGAATGTACGATAGGGCTAGGATAGAAAACACCAAATCAAGTAATCTGCGGGAACTGCCAGACGGCAGCAAACAAAAGCCCGAGCCCGCCTGTCGTATATCGCAGCCTAGGAAAGGGTGCCAAGATGTGTCTGGCGAAGCCCCATCCACGGACTGCTAGCTGCGTGGCCCACGCGGCCCGCGCCACGTCTCCTAGCGGCTCTCCCTTGTTGGGTTGCCGGGCTCGCTGACATCATTCTGCTTGGTGGCCCTTCCTTGATGCGCCTCCGCGCAGAACGCGATGGTGCCGCCCACCATGGCGGCGCTGGCGCCTTGGGATCCTCGGAGTTGGTTCAAGTAGCCCGACCTACGAGGCTCGGGTGGTAGATACATGTCGTCGCGGGTGGCGGTTATAAGTGCCAAGACAGACATAGTTACGACACTCTAGCGGTGTCTTGATTATTGGGCTCACTTCTAGTGTTGAGTCAGAGCTCTTAGACAACCTCAAGGGCGGGCTACTCGACGGATATTTGGGACCAATCCATCCCATCCCAGTGAGGTTGACGGCTTTCATCACCATTTCCAAAGACAAAGTCTTGCAGCATTGCCAAGATAGTGAAATGTGTAGAAAGATGTCACGATGTATTTCGACATGGGGCGGCATAACCTCGTTTAATATAACGACATCAAGGCAAGCCACCCTCTTGGATGGTGATTTTGCTGGTTTGGCTGGTTGGAATATCTTCGGGTCCTGACATGGGCTACGTCGATAGGAACTATGCATTCGCGCCTAGGAAAGGTGATGTCATCGACTGCTAGATGGTTGCCCTCCTGCCATGCGATATACCCAACACCCAAATGCAGCGCAGGTGGTTTCATGTACCCTAGAACTCTCCTCTACGGCCCGGGCACTGCGAAACAATGATCACGTCGACTACCTGCGTGTACGATAGCGGATGTCGGATGATGTCTGTCGTTGGAGGGGTGGTTGTACAACCCGCAAGGGAGGTAGCAGAGGAGCGTCGACATCGGCAAGTGTGTGAGGTATCCCGGTAGGTGATACCAGAATAGGAAAGTGACATGTCGATTTTTGGCTACCACGGGCGCAGATCGTGCGTAGGCGGTCCAGGTCTATCCATCGGGGTGGACCGTGCACTCACGTGCCTAGGCCCCACCTCATACAGCAAATTATGACCGGGAGATATCGTGATAGGATAATCATTGCCGGTTAGGCCATTGCGCGTAGATCCAAGGATGAGAGTGAGACGATGGTTGTTTGCTGTGACAGCTGCGGAGCAAAACGCAATTAACTACGAAGGATACACTGCATAGTGAGGACGGAAAATTTGGCAATGTGTCAAGTAACACGTTCCGCGGCACGAGACGCCATGTCAACTTCTGATGTCAGCCCCCGTCCCCGATGTCAGCGTCAGCTTGCGGGGGATGCTTGGTGATTGGCGCCGCCACGGCCTGCTCGGGGACAGCCACAACTGGTCAGCAGCTCAGCCTCTCAGCCGTCGGGTTATGGCGTCGGAGATCGTCCGTATAGAGAAGGTCAATTATGGAGGTAACCCCGGGAGCTCTCAGGAAAAGACGAGTCAACTTGTTCAAATAGTTGGCACGACGAGGCGGAATCCGTCATGCGGATGAGCTCCAGGCAGAGAGCGCGCTTGGCGCGCCCCGGCGAAGGATGACGGCATTCTAGGCAGCATGGCGATGCGGAAGCCTTCCTGGCCCTTGCGGGAATCCTCATTGGCCGCGCCGGCATGGGTTGGCGCCCGACCTCGCCCCTCCACGCCGGCTGAGCCGTTTGGCTGTAGCTAGAGTGACGGAGCCCCCGTGTATCGTCCAACCGTGATGGAGGCATGGAGGGCCGAAGGAGGGCATTCTGCTCAGGGGAAACTGTCTGTGGCTGTGTCAGCTTTATGACTTTGGAGGGGTGTATAGAGGCGGTGGCAGAGACGAGCAGCAGGCCCATTGGGCCGACGCTAACGGCCAGCCGCAGGGCCCAGACCGGCGGATAGAAATCCAGTCGGAGACAAGGATGCATGTTGCGCAGCATCCCCACCACATAGGGCTGCAGGTCCCGTGAAGGCGCCCGCGTGATATCATTGGGTGCGTCGTCACAGGCTGCCTCGTGGACAGTCCACCTTGCGGGTGATCCCGACCTGCCTCTCCGCTCGGGCAGCATCGGAGGGAGCGAGCTGGGGGCCAAATTATGAGAGACGACATGTCATACAGGAGTCATTATGCCGTGCATTGCTTCTTTTCTCGCGTTAGAGCGTGCGGAAAGGCTGGGCAACTGAGGCTGGCTGACAGGATGACGACGATGACAGAAGAAGGTCATGGGTGCTAGGTGGCCTCTCTGGCGATGAGTTGCTCAGGAACGAGAGCCATGCGACTGTGCAACGTCCTCGATGTATAAAGACGGCACCATCCTGTTCAAGTCAGAACCGGAAGTGATTCTGGTCCTCATCCACAAGCACAAGAACACCTGCAGCCATCAACATCACTTATATCCATATTCTTACAATATTCACAAGTCAGATCTTTCATCATGTCATCTACCACATCCGAGGTCGTGCGGGCTCCGGTTGAGGCCAAGCCGGAGCTCATTGTGATCTTCAAGACCACTCCGGTCGCCAAGGTGACGGGCCGTGGGCTTGTAGCATCGAGCGAGGACGTCAGCTCGGTCAATGAAGTCCTGAGCCGCCACAACGCCTCTCTGAAGCTCCTCTTCGGCCAGGACGAGGCGCGGCTCCAGGCCCAACAGGCCGAGGTCGTTGCCGCCGCGGCCACAATCGCCCCCGCCCTCTACGGCGCCGGCGAGGACGACGACGAGCAGCACGAGGCCGACATCGTGGCGCCCGCCGCCCTGGCCGCGGCGTCGCTGCCCGATCTCTCGTCCTTCTACACGCTGGACGGCGAGGTCGAGGACCCGGAGGCGCTCGCGGCCGAGCTGCTCCAGCAGGAGCTGGTCGACGCCGCCTACGTCACGCCCCCGGCGGCGCCGCCGCTGTTCCTCAACGTCGAGCGCGAGGACGGCGGCCCGCCAAGCGACACCGAGGCGCCGCCGGTGACGCCCAACTTCCAGTCGCGGCAGGGCTTCCTCGGCGCGGCTCCGGGCGGCATCGAGGCGCTGTGGGCGCGCACGCAGCCGGGCGGCAAGGGCGACGGCATCCGCATCGCCGACGTCGAGTGGGGCTGGCGCTTCACGCACGAGGACCTGCGGCAGCAGCTCGGCGGGCTGCTGGCCGGGTCCAACAGCACCGATACGGGCTTCGTCAACCACGGCACCGCCGTGGCCGGCGTCGTGGGCGGCGACGAGAACGCCATCGGGGTCCTGGGCATCGCGCCCAACGCGCCCTTCTACACGTCGTCGCTGGTCGACCAGAGCACGTCGGCGGCCATCAAGGCCGCGGCGGACCGGCTGAGGGCCGGCGACGTCATGCTCCTCGAGGTGCACCGGTCGGGCCCGCAGGCACCGAACCCGGCGCAGGGCCAAAAGGGATACATCGCCATCGAGTGGTGGCCGCAGGACCTGGCGGCGATCCAGTACGCCGTGGCCAAGGGCATCGTCGTGGTCGAGGCGGCCGGCAACGGCTCCGTCAACCTCAACGACCCCATCTACGACAGGCCGCAGGCCGGCTGGCCGTCGACGTGGCGCAACCCGTTCCGCACCACCAACCCGACGTCGGGCGCCGTCATAGTCGGGGCCGGGGCGCCGCCGCCGGGCACGCACGGGCGCAACTGGGGGCCGGATCGGTCGCGGCTCGACTTCTCCAACCACGGGCTCCGGGTGGACGCACAGGGCTGGGGCCAGGAGGTGACGACGACGGGCTACGGGTCGCTCCAGGGCGGCGTGTCGCAGGACATCTGGTACACCGACACCTTCAACGGCACGTCGAGCGCGTCGCCCATCGTGACGGGCGCGGTGCTGAGCGCGCAGGGCTCGCGGCGGGCGCGCGGGAAGCGCCTGCTCACGTCGCACGAGTTCCGCTCGCTCCTCCGCGCTACCGGCTCCCCCCAGCAGGCCAGCCCCCAGGCGCCCGTTTCGCAGCGTATCGGCAACAGGCCGAACCTGCGGCAGCTGATCCCGGCGGCGCTGGCGCGTCCCTAGGTTGGGGACGTGGACTAAGTGGTCGTGGATAGCGTACATGTCAGGACATGTGACTTTGGGTGGTGGGGGTTGGGTTGCTGATGTCAGTGTTGATTGTCTTGTTGATATTGAAGTCTGGTGGTATTAATAGCGTCTTCTTTTGGTCCCTGTCCCACTGTTTGTGATGTGCTTCAGGGATGCTCGTGGCCCTGTCTCTGGTTGAGGGCTGCCGATTTATTTGGCTTCGGGTTATCGCGGCATGCAACCTTGAATGAGAAGTCCATCCCTGACGAAGAGGGTCCCTGACCCACATGACCGTCGTCCTGCCCAATGGCTGCGTTCGGCGTTTGGGCGTGCAGTTCCAGTGGTGTCATCACGGCCGACGGCGCTCTCAAACTGCCCGGCCGTTTCGACAATTGCACGCTGATGACCAAACTTCAAGGTTGGCGCAAACCTCGGTGCTTCCCAGACAAAACACTTTGAACATCCTCCTCCACTCCGTGTTGCGCAGCCATCCGCGCCACCCACAAAATCGCCAAAGCCCAGACCAGACTGCCGCTGACAGTGCCTCGGCTTTAACTCCTGTTGGGTCGGATTTTATATTACCGAGCGCCGGCCTAATCCCCGCCGCATGTCATCTCAGCGAGGGGCTTTTCGTTTGCGCCTTGGATGAGCAAAACTTCCACCGCCGACACGATCCGAGCTTAAACGAAGAAATCGCCACGCCCCGCACTGGCCTATACCTCGATGCCAGTCTTGATGGCCAGCGCCACAAACGAACGCTCACGGCCAGAACATGGCTCGGCGCAAGCCTCGCCGGCCAGATCCGCCGACGCCGCATCTGGCGCACCTTCCCTCACTTCAGTTCCCGCGGGCGCCTCCGTCTACAATCCAAGCGACACTCCTGACGACTCTCTAAATCCAAGGAGCTGTGTAACCTGTCGGAGGAGGAAAGTAAGGTCCCCCTGTGCGTCCAGAACTCGGCGCTCAAGAGACCAGGAGAACCAAACGAGGTGACTGACACTCTGTTCAACCAGGTCAAATGCGACAAGCTCCAACCATGTACCAACTGCCGCCGAGCACACATACCCTGCATATTCCCTGCCCCAGGCCGGGCCCCTAGACGACCCCGACCACGAGACCCCAATGCGCCTCCGACGTCGAAACACCACTCGAGCGAGCGGGAGGTCGAGCTGATGAAGCGGCTGCGCAAACTGGAGGGCATTGTCGAGGAGCTGAGCGGGCAAATCGAGGTGGAGGCGACCAGGCAGGGTTCTAGTTCAGAATCGCCAGAGGCCGCCACACAGGACGCTCCTGCCGCCGCATCGGCTGCTGGCGCCAGTCAGGCAGGGACGTCGGTCGATGTGGGGAGCAGCTTGCGACCGTTAGGCCGTGGGCCAAGCATCTCGAGCGATCACGGCCATGAGCCACCACTTTCAAGCCCTGGCAGCCGCTGCCCGTTGGACGACATGCACCCTGGAAGGCGACCCCTCGCCCAACATGGGGCTGACCCTACCTTCAACCGGAAATTCGGCAGGCTAGTCTTGCATGACAAGGGAAGGTCTCGATACGTCAGCAGCGGGTTCTGGTCCAAGATCAACGACGAGGTAGGCTTTCACAGGCTTTGGAGGACAGTCTGAGACCAGGGATGCTGTCGTATCAATTGGCTGATCAGTGCCGTTACCTTGGGTTGGCTTATAGATCAACGAGCTGCGGACCGCAACCGAGGAGTGGTTCAGCGCTGAATCGGAACTATCTGAAGAGGATACTACCCCTGAAACCTCGCAGGGAATTCCAGGCGGCTACTCCAACAGCGCCTTCTTGTTCGGCAATCACACGTCTGATGTTGATCTCCGAAGTTTCCACCCGTTACCGTCCCAAATACCATTTATATGGCAGATTTATGACCAAAATGTCAACTCCATCATCAAGATCCTTCACTCGCCCACCATGGCCGTCACCGTCAGCGAGGCTTGCAAACGCCTGGACAACCTGGAGCCTCCGCTCGAGGCACTCATGTTTGCCATCTACATGGGTGCTATCGTGTCCATGGAGGAGGAGGAGGTGGGCCTCTCTCATTATTTCTCTTGTACCGAAACGACGCTTCGTCAGCTGACCTCCCACACTCTTCTCAGGTCGCAACAAACTTCGGTTTCGATCAGGCGACTCTGATAGCAAAATATGGCTACGCGCTGGAGATAGCCTTGGCAAAGGTCGAGTTTCTTACATCGACAGATTTGACCACCTTCCAGGCATTCGTCCTCTACACCACCATGGTGAGGCGCCGCAACGACACGCGGTGTGCCTGGACTCTCGTTGGCCTGGTCGTGCGCATCAGTCACGCCCTGGGACTACACCGCGACCCAACAAACTTTCCTGGCTTCAGCCCTTTTGAGTGTGAGATGCGAAGGCGCCTCTTCTGGTACCTCCTCACAATGGACTTCCGCGCCGCCGAGGATCAGGGAACAGATCTGGCCATCATAGACCGGTCTTTCGATACCCAGATCCCTCTCAACATCAACGACGCCGACTTCGGACCCGACTCTACCGAGCTCCCGCCGCCACGCCAAGGCGAAACGGAGATGACGTTTTTGTTGATGCTCTACAACATCCAGGTGTACCTTCGTCGCATCCTGAACATGACTTCGGCAGCGGGAGCTGCTTGTCCCGTGGACATCAACAGCCCGTTCGAGAAACGGGAGCAGCTGCTCGAGGACATAATCAAGACGGTCGACCGCATCTGCCCGCCATCTGCGAGTGCCGCAAAGGCTAACCCAATGATATTCTTGGCAGCCACCGCCGGCCGGGTCATACACGCCAAGATGACCGTCGTCGTCTACCAGAGCGGTCTTTTGGGAGCTTACCACGGCAATCCCACAGGCGAGCTGACAGAAGAACGCCAGGAGCGCCTCTATACGGCCGCCATCGAGGTGTTTGAGCACGGGAACCTGCTAGCGCTCGACCCGCGTGTCAAGCAGTGGAACTGGATGATTCGCGTGTTTATGCAGTGGCAGGCTGCCGCCTACCTGCTTCTCCGGATGTCGAGGGCTCCCTGGAGCCCCGTGTCGGAGCGTGCCTGGACAGCCCTCAGTGTGACTTTTAGCAGTGCCAGCGCCGCCGCCGAGCTGGACCGCATCGCCGACAACGCGGCCGTCTGGCTGCCCTTTAGGCGTCTCTATACGCGCGCCCGCCGCCACCGCGTCGCAGAGGTAGCGAGACTGCGAGCGGACAAGGCAGCTGCGCGGGCACTCGATCTATCCTATATGCCAAAGACGGCGCCGTCCTTCGACACGCTCTCCAATAGCGTCAGGGCGGCAATGGCCCGTCAGAACTGGCGCAAGCTGGTTGACGCGCCGCCTCTGGAGGATGGCTCGCCGACCCAGACGCAAGCGTCAAACCTGCAACAGGGGAATCGGGAAGCTGCACGTTCGGCGTCACGGCCACAGCCCCCCGGCAGCCGTCTGCCCCTGACCGGGCCGCAGTTGTCGGCATCAAAGCCATGGCACGCCCAAGGTGTGGGAGGCGATATCATGTCAGGCGCCGCCACAGCCCCTGACGCCTTCAGCCTAGGCGTGCTGGATTTCGTGGACCAGGTTATGACGCAGCCGACGTTTGCACCGGCCGACTTTTGGCCCCTTGCCTTCCCTCCCGACCAGGCACCACCGGACAACAGCAATCTGCCGCCTGCGCGGACCAGCAACCCCTTCCAACAGGGCACGTCGGCGCAGCGCCAATCGCAGCCGCAGCCGCAGCCGCCAGCCTCGGACGCACAGCTCCTCGATGCCTTGCGGAAGAACAACGCCCCGCCATGGCTATTCCCGCTCCCCAACGGCCCGTCATCATCCCTCACCGGCAGCAGCAGAGACGTCGACGAGCCCAACAACACCCCGTATGTTTCTCCCTCCACCGCGGCAGCACTTGACGGTGGAGATGGGCCCTTTGCAGATCTTCCAGATATCATGTCGGGCATTACCGGCGATCAGCTCGGCAGCCCATCACTGGAGGATTTGGACGTGGCCATGGACACGGACGACTTCAACTGGCAAGCCTTCAACGAGAACATCCGTGGCTTCCCGTCCGGGGCCGGCAGCTCCGCCACGGGTCTTTGGGGTATCTAAGTGAAGTGCCTGGCCTATTCTAGTAACATGTGGTGACCTCTTGTTTGGAAACAAACTCTGTCTTTTACTATCCGGTTTTTTGTACGAGAGATCCCCCACATTGTGTTTTTGTATACCATCTGACGACGCTGGGCGCAACTTGCTATAGCCATCTCACCACATGAATGTTTGATTCCCTTCTGCCGTCGCCCCTTTCACATTTACTGGCATCTGTATATCTAGTCTCGGAAAGGTTGTGTTACCATATCACATCGCAGTTATGGAGCAACCTATTTCCCGCCAAGCGCTCTGACGCATCGTCTTACATGATCCCGAGCCATTCCGACGACACCTACCAAGATAAGGATGTACCAAGATATCTACCAGTCTCACGAAAGGGGAAGTGCCACAGCTGCGAAACGAGACACGTTAACTACTGCTTCCACCTCCGCAACCACCACCACCGCCCCCGCAAGCTGCGCTGCTACTGCCGCACCCACCGCCTAAGCAGCGGGAATCATGGTCAGCTTGGTGCGTTCTGGAGAACGGCCTGAGTTGCATCTGCTGATGGGAAGTGATCATACCGCCGCCGCCACCGACGCCGCCGCCGTCGAAACCGCCACTGCCGATGTCTGAGCCGCAGGCGCTCTGTAGAGGTCATGTTTTGGTGTCAGTAACATACTTCCACTAGGGTAAGGGGAGAAATGCCTCGGGGGGAGGAAACTCACGCCCGCGGTTGCGCATCCGCCGCCGGTCGTCGTGCCGCAGCTGCCCTGGCAGCAGTTCCCGTACTCGCCCTGGCCCGTGTGGACGGTCGAATGGTCCCAGCCGCAGTAGACCTCGGGGCTGTAGTAGACGGGGTAGACGTAGGGCGAGTACACTGTTTTGATGGTGGGGGGGTTGTCGAATGGCCACCCGTCGGTCAGCTCAGTACCTTGATGAGAGCCAGCCCGAGCTCTGGAAAAAGAAAAAAGAAATGCAGAAGCATGGCAGACGAGGAATACTGACTAAAGTAGGCATAGCCCCAGTGGGCGTAGTACTCCTGCTGGGGCGGCAGCTTCCTGCCCTTTTGCTCGGCCCGCTTCTTCGCCTTGGCGTAGCTCGTCTCGAGCATGCGGTCGTGCCGGGCCCGGGCGTGCTCGAGGAGTCGGCGGCCGCGCTCGTCGGCGGCGACGGTGCGGACCGCGTTGTGCGCCGATATGTGGGCCGAGTTGTCGGGCGGGCAGAGCTTGGCGCGGCCCGAGGTGTGGAACTTTTCCGAGACTGGTCAGGGGGAGGGTCAGCTTGCTTGGGAACTAGGTAAGGAGAACGGTGGGAAAAAAAAGAGGGACATACTCTGGTCGTTCTTGGATATTCCGAGCAATTTTCCGACGCCGCTGACATGGGATGTCCGGACGGCTGGTTTTGACCTGGTGTGAGCACAAGCACGATTTCAGGGGTTGGAGGGGGTTGGTACGTTGGCAAAAAGGGAGGACGAACATTCGCAATACCAGCAGGTGCACTCGGAATACACCTCGTTGTACTTCCACTGGTAGATGCCGCTCGTCCAGGAAAAGGCGGTGGACAGCTTGGACTCGTCGATCTTGTCGTCGTGGTCGACGAACTTCTTGGTGGTGCGGACCGAGTAGGCGTAGTAGGCCGACGGGCTCAGCTGGTGCGTGTGCCAGGCCAAGTCGACGTCGAGCGTGGGCACGGCGACGCGGTGGGGGAACTGGGCCATTATTGCAAAGAAGCGGCCGTACTTCTTCACCAGCCGCTCCATCGTCTCCCTGGCCGCGGGGCTGCGCAGCCAGTCGAGCTGCGCCATCTTGGCCGTGAAGATGGACTGGCGCGTCACGGCCCCGACCAGGTCGAGCGCGAAGGGCGAGAAGTTGTGCCAGTAGGCCCGCATGGCGCGCCGCACAAACGGCCTGCTCGCCCACGGCGCCCGCCGCTGGCCCGTGGCCTCCTGGTGCCGCGCCGGGTCCGCCATGGTGCGCTCGAGCGCGGCGCGCACGTCGTCCATGGTGGGCGGGGTGCCATCGCCGGCCCCGCCCGGGCGGATGAGGTCGAGTATGTCGGCGCGGGCGCCCTTCTTGACGAGCCGGTTGGGGTACGTGCGCGGCGCGTCGGCCGTGGGGGGCTCCAGCTTGGGTCCGCCCGTGTCCGGGTCCAGGATGGTGCCAGGCAGGGGGCGGGACTTGGCCAGCAGCGCCTTGGTGTCGCGCACGAACTTGGCGGCGCTCAGGAGCTCCTTGTTGATGGTTATGCCGCAGCCGTGGCACGTGTGCGAGAACTGGCCGTCCCCGTAGCCGCTGCCGATGAGCTGTGCTGCGCTGTGGTGGGTGGGGGGGAAGGTGAGGTGAGTTGGGGTTAGCGGGGCTGATAACTAGAGATAAAGGCTTGTAGCAGCAGGAATAAGAGATATGCGGAGAACGTACTCGGTGATGTGCCTCGGCTTCCCATCTTCGCTAAACCCACAGGTCGACCACTTGAGCTGCGCGCTTTCCGAGCACGCGGGACACGGGAGCTCCTTGATCATGGAATCATGGACGTTGTTCCACTGGCGGCCGGTCAAGCTCGTCCAGCGGGCCTTGGCATCGTCCGACACGCTGTAGCCAAAGTCTGGGTTGATGGCGGCGCTGACGAGGTCCCACGGCATCCCGGCGGCCCAGTAGTCCCGGGCGCCGCACCGCATCATGTCCTCGAGGAAGGCGCGCGGGTTGAGCATGTGCGCGTGCCAGACCATGAGCACGTCGAGCGGCGGCAGCTCGAGCGCGGACCACCGCCGGGCGGCCCGCGCCGCCGCGCTCGGGAACCCCTCGTACAGGGCGCTCAGGGGCTCCCACATGTGCTCCTCGGCCAGCGGCTCCGCCGACTGCATGGCGGCGGCCCACCAGGCCTCGTAGCGGTCGGCCGCGCGCGCCACAAAGACGGCCCAGCGCTTCTCGCGGCTCTTGCTCAGGAGCAGCTCGGCCGCGGGGCCGCCGCGACCGCCCGGCGCGGCGGCGGCGGCGGCCTCGTGGCAGGCCGGGTCGTCGCAGATTCCCCAGAGGCCGTCCGTGTAGCCGACCTCCTCCCTGAGCGCGTGGAAGGCGGCGAGCAGCTTCAGGTGGGCCAGGCAGGTGTCTGCGATTGGGTCCCGCGGCCCGCCCGAGAGGTTGAGGGTCGCAAACGCCGCGTTGATGTCAATGCCATCCGTGTACGCCGGCGGGGGAGTGTCCGGGGGCGGGGGGTTGGGAAAGGTCTGCTCGCGCTTGATGTCCATTGTTGACTCCTGCTGGCCAACTTCAAGTGCTGATCATGGTTGCACGATGGGGGTGGTGCCAAATCTGGGGATGGATCAAGGGACCAGGGCTTTTAAATCCCCACATGTGTGATGTGAGGCTGAACTAAGGAACGAGCCGAATGCTACTAACGCGAAGCTACACTACCGGGTACCCCTCGCGAGTATGCTTATCTATCGAAGCTCCAATTCTGGCCGTATGTCTGTACCAATCACAAACTGCCCCCAACCTCACCATCCCCAACATAACCTCAGCCACACCATGGTTAGCCGGGCGTACGTACGCACATCCCATTCAGGGCCCCTCGAGCTCCGCTGCCGTTCATTTTCCGACTGGCACACGAACACCACGTCATCGCCAATGTCCTCCTGATAAGTTCCTGCATTGAGACGGGCTGTGCTGGAGTGTGACTACGCAGTAGACTGCGCCTCCGCAGATTTAGCCTTGGTACCCACGTGGAGGGTCTTGCATTTTCGGATGCAGGGCGCCTGCAGTCAGCTGTCCCCGCAAGAGTTCACAACCTTATCGCTGCTTGACCTCGATCCCCAGGGTGGGGAAGACAGCAGAGCGTGTGCCGTGGGCGCTGATCTCGAAGTCTCGGTCGGCTTCACGTTGCCCGACTTGATCCGCTCTTTCACTTGCAGGTCTCAGCCCCAGATATCCATCGTACGACATGAGATTGAGGTGTACCCCACACCACCACATCGGACTAGACAAAGAGCTTGTGTCCTGCCCCCTTCGGTGTCCCTGTTGAGTGACCGAGTTGGAAGAGCCCAATGCTGGGTCGTTATGCAGGTGAATGAATGGTTCTTGGAGAGCTCCAAAGCTGACAGGGTGAGGAAGGATGATTCCGACAATCTCTAGCTCCTTGTAGTACTCATGTGCTCCCCTTTTGGTCTCCTTCCCAACTTTGCACTCTCAAATCCAACATGAATTTTCTTTTACGGCCCAAAATTACAAACCAAGAAACCATGTTGTTTTGGCCACAATAAGGCACAAATCGATGAAGCGTGGAACATGCGTAGTTATTCATATATCAAAATAAATTTCTACCTACCCTGCCACTTACCGTGAGTGACAGCGGCCATCGCGGACCGGCGGCGGACAGGTTGCAGGTGATATCGGCTCACTATTGACTAAATTCCACCCACGACTAACTGCTTGGGGAGTACCGGACCACCAATTCTCCCTACGCTCACGGGGGTTCCAGTCTATAGGGTCCCACTGAACAGCAAACGTCGGAAGCCCCCAGCAGAACGGCCGGGGCAAGGGCCGTCCCTCGCGCTCCGCTGCCTCCTTTTCAACGTAGCGCTGCTCCGTCGAGTCGACACAGCGTGTCCCATCCCACCCCCACCCTGGAATCCAGCAGAGTTTCATCAAGAACCCGCACAGCAAGGTACAACCCACGTAAGGAAGCCACTTGCAACCCATGTCGATATCCTCTTGCTTGCCCCAGAGGCACCCTGGACAGGGGGCTCCAGGACAGTATTTTGGCATGATGGGCGTTCGATGGGCGTTCGATGGGCGTGTGATAGTGCTGTAGATAGCTTCTCAAGTGGAATTCTAATGCCCCGCCAGGGGGTGTTATGTTAATGCAGGGTAGGGATCTGTCATGCGAGCTGGTTATCGGGACGACTGAAGCAAGCTGTCTACATTGGTTTGTATCATCTCGTAGATGTCAAACCAACAGCCGCCTGAAGGCCAACCCGATTTGTTCCACGAATAGCACCCAAGTTCCGGCTATCTTCGCCTTTTTACGCCGCTCGGCGTGCCACCACGGGTATGCATGGTCAGACAATGGGAGTTGAAAAGTTTCCGTTAAAGGGTCCGTCGAATCAACCAGCCATTGTCCACGGGACAATTAAAGACATAAAGGGTGGGAAGATAATGGGACTGAAAGCTCAACATGGGCAATTCTTTCTCTCCCTTCTGACAGGGTCAATGAAACTTCCCTTGGTAGCATTCCTCTCATCCCTGGGTGGCAGCGCCTCCAACGAAAACCACCAAGACGGCAGCATAAGCGGCCGTTGCGCTGAGGAGTTCGATCGGCAGTCTGCTCGGGGAAAAATACGAGAGCCCGACGGCAAAGAGAATGGTGAATACGCAGACTATGGCTAGACTCGCGTCCGTCCTGCCGATCAGGACCATGGTTATCATGGGAACCGTGAGGATGACGGCGCCAGTGATGGCCAGCGAGTACTGAAGAAAACGGGTCTTGGTCCTCGAGTCAAAGTCCCACGGCCCGCCGGGCATCTGCTCCGGGCCGTCGTCGGACTTGTACGGGTGGTGCATGGGGATCGGGTCGATGCCGCGCGCTTTGAGGGTGTCGATTAGCCCGCGTTCCAGGGGCCGTTCGGACTTGAGATGAAAGGGATTGCCAGGCCAGTCTCTCTGAGCCCACTCGCGCATGTATTCGCGGTCTCGCACTGCAGTACCTGGTGGACATGTTTCCAGCCACCGCTTAGCAAGCAGTTCAGCGGGCGCAAATCAGGGAGGAGTGGAACGTGGTCGCTCCTCACAGTAATCTTGCATCAAGGATGTCACCCTCTTTGAGTTGTCGTCGTCCATGTCACCTCGCTTAAACATGTCAACGGCTTCGTCCAGCAGCCGCATACGCAGATACTGCATGTTCATGCGATGCAAGGCGACGAGGTTGATACGTTCACCCCTTTCGTTCGCGTAATACGTGTGTCTTCGTCCAATCTCGACGATTCTTTGCGTCTGGGAGTTGTGTAGGGTTGGACAAGGCATTGCAGTCTCCGGTTCGGCCATCCTCGCCCCATTGACGGGCGGCACTATTGGATTGGCCATGCAGAAGTATAGGGTTGGCGTCACTGTTGGTGTATTGCGGTAGCTTCGCTTCAAAATGTCGTCACGTATCCGTTGAGGGTAGAAGAAAAGGAAGAGGAGGTCGACGTGCGGGGTCAAAAATGAGCAGCCAGGGTGTTCGGATTGAGAGCCGGCCGACCATGCACCTGGTCACCATGCACCTGGTCGTCGATACTTTCCTGGGAACCACCTCCAGAATCAGGCCGCCATCTGCGTGTGCGTGTTGGGCACGACAAGCGGAGGTAAACGGAGCCCACAACAAACAAGTTCCAATTTGATGCCATACCCAGCAACTCGTCCACGTAGTCACAGCCGTGATAGCATCGAACAAAAACGGCCGGCAACTACCTAGATCCGGCCGACTTGCGCTCCGAGGCAGACAAACCTCGCCCCTACCGGTTCGGTGGATGCTCGGACGGTCCTGGGCGGGAAGACAACGCCGCGATAGCGTGTGACGAGGCCGCCAGCCGCGTGGGCCAATCCGTCGTACGTAAGACAGCAGGGCGGGCGCGGGCTCGCAACCCCATGGGAGATGAACCCTTGGCCTGCTGCGACCATTGCGACCATTGCGACCACTTCCGGGCCGTGGTGGCTGTTGAGGAATGGCACCAACCTCGACAGCTTTGGAACGTCCACGTCCAAGATCTTCTCCAGCAAAGCCATGTACTTACTCTTTTATTTTAGGCTGTCTACCTGAGACAAATTACTGTTCCTTGGGGTTGGATGGCGAAAACTAAAGTAAAGCCATATCTCGGAGGAGAACACCCGAGGTTGCTCCTCCTGCTACCTGCTCTCGTCATTGAGCGGAATGTTGCCTTTCCAGTCTTGCTATCCATCATGGTCGCGTTCTAATCATTTGGCCATATCAACAATCGAAGCGGAAGCGAGGCACAGTCGCCTCGGCGGACAGGCAATGTGCATGCGCCGATTCTTCCCAGATCGGTACCTGCAGAAGACACCAGTGTTCCAGAAAATATGTGGCCGCCCTCATGCGATGTGATCAAAGGATCGGCAGGGCCAGATACCAGTTCCTGCTCACTCCAAGGTGGAAACAAAGATCGATCGGCGATAGCCTGGCCGGCTGAGTGTAAGCAGAGGTCGAGAGCCTAAGAAGAAAAGCATCCGACGCTATCCTGATGATTGTTGCATCTTCTTGGACTCGGTCAGCCAAAAACTATCATTCTCGGAGCTAATTCTACCCGCTTTGGGCTTTTGGCAGGGCTAGATTGCTCCATGGGTAAGCGTAGGGCTCAGCTGCTCCTCGGGTGAGATTTGAGGCGCTCCATGGGCTGTTCCTCCGATGGAAATTAGAGCCTGCTACCGGATCTCGGAGGGGACAGCCAGCGCCATGTACCGGGGCAGTGAGAAGCAGGCACCATATCTCCGACAGCTGCTTGAAAGCCGCATCCGTTTGGTAGACAGATTCTCACATGTTTATCTCGCACAAGTCCATCTCTAGCGCTTCCGCTTAGACTAGGATTTCGATCCTACAGGACGTCTGTGCCGCAACGACTGGTGAGATTCGATATGTCTCAAGCGACAAGCCCTCTTGGCCCAATGGAGATAGTGAGGCTGGTCTTGGGCGTGATTCCAGCTCTTGGGCCACTGGAGACAGAGCGTGAAGCCCTTTCGCCCCAGAATGTCACCATAAACATCCGAATACCAGTTAATACTTGTCCAATTGTTGTGTGAACGGGGTACCGAGCAGCAAGCCAACTCGATTGGGAGCAAAATTAGGCCCAATAGGCCTTCTAGAACCTGGTTATCGGTGGAATAATTCCTGTCTCAGATACCGAGGTCACGATATCTCGGAGGAAGAGAGACGGTGGCATCAAGCTAGAGATGAATGGAGATGTCAACATGATCCTTCTCATACGACCTTTCGTTAGGGCTGCGTGGGCTGATGCGCCGCTGCTGTCTTAGACTCGGGATTCCAAGAGAGTCTCTTACCGAGGAGCGAAACCAGCCATCCACAAATCCAGCTTCACCAGAAGCGTGAACTCCGGGAGGGCATTGCATTCCGGGTATATAAGACACAGCTAGGTGTCTCAAGTCTTCACACAGATTCAACAGGAAGACTCACCAACAGAGCCTCCCACTCCAAAGCATAAGGACAGCTCCCTCAAGCCTATCCAAGCCGTCTCCAAGACCCAAGATCATTCCATCACTTGCTCGTCAACATGAAGGTCATCATCCTCGCCACGCTGCCGGTCCTGGCCGTGCTTGCTGCACCGGCCCCCGCTGCCGATCCCGTGGAGATTACCGGGCCCAGCGGAGCCGACATGGCCGTGATCTCGAGCCTTGAGCCCGACCACGTTGACAAGGGCGGCGTTACGCTTGGCTCCATCGTACCGGACGACGACCTTCCGACGCCCCCCGAAGGCTTCATCGACGACAAGGAGGCCGAGCTGGCATTCCCACTCAACACCACCTTTGACGCCGCCGAGGCCATCCTGCGGCGCCAGACCGACGCCCCTTACAAAATCAAAAAGGGCCTGGCCTACAACAACGGCGCCATCACCAACGTCCTCTCCAAGCCCGGGTCGGCCACGTGGGCCTACAACTGGGGCGCCGCCATGAACGCACCCAAGTTCCAGCAGATCCCCATGTGCTGGGGCCTCGGGTCCGGATGCGACGCCAACGGCATCAACAACAAGATTAGCAAGGGTGACACCCCTTGGGTCCTGGGCTACAACGAGCCGGACGAGACCAACGCCAACGGCGGCTGCAACGCGTCCCCCAAGAAGGCGGCCGACAACTGGGGCAAGGACATGTTCCGGTTCCAAACGCGGGGGCCGAAACTTGTGTGCCCGGCCATCAGCAGCTGGAACACCGACAAGGGCCACACGGGCGGCCCGGCCGGGCTGCAGTGGCTCCGCCAGTTCGTCAAGTCCGCCAGCTCGCCCTCGTACTTCCGGTGCGGCGCCCAGGCCCTCCACTGGTACGGGGCGCAAGGGGAGTCGGCGACCCGCCAAGCGCAGCTGTTTATCGATTACATCGCCTACGCGCACGTCGAGGTCGACAAAATGTACGGCAAGACCATGCCCATCTGGGTCACCGAGTTCTCCCCGCTGCCCATCGGAAACGTCAACATGATGGCCGACTTCCTGAAGATCGTCATCCCGTGGATGAACAAGCAGAGCTGGATCCACCGCTACTCCCCCTTCATGGCCGAGCACCTTGTGACCAACGGCAAGCTCAACAGGGCTGGAAACGTTTTTGTCGACACCAAGTAGGAGTTGCGAAGCTGGCGGCTCCTTTACGTTGCCGGACGCTTGATCGACAGCCCGTGAGCCAAGGATTTTGTTGCTGTAAATTCTTGCTATTTGTCTCTATTCCCTTCGTCAGTACATACTTACTCTGCCATTTTTGTATCTACACTCTCTACATAGTAACTGTATCTAGACACTATCTATTACTTGAAACCCACTGGTCAGGTGCAAATCTCTCCCGCAGTTTTGCCAAATGTCCGGAGTTACCCCTGCCGACATCTGTCACATTCAGGAATGTTTCCAAGGTGCGTACCGTGTCGTGGTATTATCAATGGGAATAAATCCATACGTATTGTAGCAAAGATGGAACAAATAAATGAGATCTAAAGGATCAAAAGGGGATGGGATGGCCCATAGTGGCCTGTAGAAAAAAGAGGGAAGAAGGATTAAGAAAAAGGCGAGGAAAGAAAGCCTCTCGGAGAGTTGGGCCCAGTGGGTAATGGATGGGTGTTCCAGGCCAGGTATTACAGGGGGCGGCCCGCAAGTGGGACAGTGGATGTGGGGGTGATAAGCACATCAATTCAATCGATAATATTTTTTTTTTTCTGTCGCTCGACGAGAACCGCAACCAACCGCCAACATCGGCCCTCCACCATCCTCGCCGCGCGCCTTGGACAACCGACAAAATGGCGGACGATGGCATGGTCCTCAACTTCGAGATTGGGGATGAAGCCTTCAAGCCGCAAGTCAAGTTCAAAGGCGGTCGCTGGAGGGACCGGGTGCGGGCGCAGAAGAGCGCGAAGCGGGGTCTGGACGGCGGGCCAGCTAGAGGGAACGGGACAGGCGATGGCAGGGCCGATGCGCAGCGACCTACAAAAAAACAAAGGCTTGGAGAGGGCGATGACGATGCCGACCGCCGGCAACAACAGGGATCTGGCGCCGGCGCCAGGAGCCAGCAGCCAAGGTCTCAGCACGTTACCTCCCGCCTCTTCTCCGCGAACCCGACGGCCGTGACAAACTTTGACGAGAAACCGACCGCCGAAGAACCTACGGAACCTCCCCAGCCGTCGAATGCGCCCCTTTCGGACGAGGCGGCGACGTTCCACGCCCTCGGGCTGTCGCGGCGCATC